AATTTAAGTTTTAGTTAATTTTGTAATGTGCATTTGTCATTTTTGTTTTTTATATATTTCTAAATAGAAATATATTTAAGTTTTAAAATTTAGTACTTCAAATTATTTCATTTTATTTTAAATATATTAATTTTATTTTATATATATTTTTTAGTGCCAATGGGACATTTATAGCTTTGGTTCAAGGTTAGGTTTTTAATCTATTATTTTATTTCAGATTTATTTTAATTAACAAAAACAATTTTAATAGTTTAGTACTAACGCTGGATATTAAAGCTCTGACGCATAACTTTTGTAATCTGACTGTTCGTGAATGTTCAGCATGACCAAACATGAAGTGAAACTTCACGGAAGAAAACACAAACTCACGAGTCTTCAGAGTTCACGGTGTTCTTTCTTACGAACAAGAAGTCTTTTTAAATCGCTTATTGAGTTCGCCTGAACAACAACTGACTTCCTGTCTGCTCTGTCCTGACTTCCTGTTGTTGGCAGTGGGATCTGGTGTGTTCTCGGTACTGGCTGGTTCCAGTCGAGGAGGTGTGCTTCATTCTGGGGACGCTGACGGGCTGTCTGGGTTTGGGCTACATGGCTGACCGGTGAGAAACTGTCCATCCGTCTGTCTTTTCAGTGTTTTTTCGGTGTATTTCCATCATGTCAGAGTTTGAGTCGTTCGGTGTGTTCCAGGCTGGGCAGGCTCAAGTCTCTGCTGGCGTCTCTGATGCTGGCGGTGGTTTTCGGGGTGCTGGTGTGCGTGTCGCCCTCACCGCCCGTCTTCATCACCATGCGCTTCTGTCTGGCCGCGGCGAGCGCCGGCGTCTACCTCACGCTGTACGTCACACGTAAGTCAAACGCACACGGAACACGCGTGACGAACAGCAGCACAGAGTGTCGAGATGATGTTTCGCTGCAAAAAAGACCTTGTTTACAGTAGAAACATTCTTAAATCAACAAATATCTGCTTCAGAGATTCTTCTGAATCTTCGGTTTCAAAATGTGAAGATTTTTTTTTTTTTTTCTGAAAAATTAACAAATTGAAGTGGAAATCAAGTTTATTTTTCGGTCTTGATTGGCTGATATTTTTTCTC